AGTACCAGGGATTGAACTCAGGATCTTGCACATGCCAGATAAGCACTTACTCTACTGCGTTATCTCCCCCACCCCTGTCAATTTCTATAAAGAAGATAAAGAAGCCAGTTGACCCTTTGATATAGATTGTGCTGAATCATTATTTTCGGGAGTACTGGATCTTAACCATGGTGTTTCCCCATCTGCGCACCTGAGAAGCCTTTTTGTTTACTTAGATTCACTTTAGGTTATTCCATTAATATTTTGTAGTTTACAGAACATAAATTTTAACTTTTAAGTATTAACTTCCTTTTTAAAAATTAATAGACTTTACTTTGAGCTATTTTAGGTGTATAGAAAATTAATCATGGTAGAATTCCCACATACTGCTCATCTCCCATCCCTACTCATCTTTCTCCTGTCATTTACACTTTGTATCAGTGTAGAACATTTGCCTCAATGGATTTACTGATATTGATACACTGTTATGAAATAAAATCCCCAGGTCTTTAGAGGAGGGATTAAGACAAATTCTCATTATATAGCCCAAACTGACCTAGTACTTGAAACAATCATTGTGCTGGATTAAAGCCCTGATTGTTGTAGGATGCATTTTGCCTGTGTTAGGAAGGTGCCAACCCTCCCTCCACTTCCTTTTCAACCTACTGTCTCCCTGGTACACCTTTCCCTTTCGAATGGCCTATAGCAAAAATAGTCCCTTGCTCTGGGTTTTTGTTTACAATCCAGGATTCCTGCTCATGTCTTGCATTTCCCAAAGATGAATATGAAACCCAGTCATGGTCTGCAGGAGGCAGAGTACAGAATGTGTGGTTAGTTAGGATTCAAGTCAGGACTTTCTTTGGAAGAGGATCTGAGATGAGGAAGGGGAAAGGAGGCAAGAGGGGAAGGCAGAACAGATGGACTGCTCCCGCAGGAAGTTTTGACTGCTGCTTCCCCTCTGCCTGCCAGAGAAGGTGTAGCAGGAGACTGTCAGGGGCAGCTCCTGGATCCCAGGGACGCCAGGGCAGGGGGCTGTCAAGCCTCTGCATACTGGCTCTAGGCTGGGCTTCTGGCAAGACATCCCCCTGAGGATGCTGGTGATATTTGCTTCCATAAGAGGGACATGGAGCCAACTATGTGTCTCTGGTGATGCTAGTGTTACTGATGGGCGCCACCTGCATCCATTACTTCATGTGGCTATTTTCATTCAATTATTTCTTCTTCACTTCTGCTGGATCATTCATGGAGAAACCTTCACCCATTCAGCCTGTGATCATCCAGAGGCAGAGCCTGTATGGGAAGATAAACAACTGCTGTTCTCCACTCTCAGACGGTTTCCTTGTGGAGCTAGTTCCTCTAAGTCCTACAAGACCCTCTGACTAGGTTTTTAACTGCATGGAGCATTTGTATTTGACCTGTGGATGTGTTTTGTTCTACTAACGCTGTGTTACCCTGGCCCCCTTGTTTCTAGGGTATGTGAGTAACTGGTCTCTCCCTATGTGTCATGCTCCTCTTCCTGACTAGGGGCATTATTTCCTACTTCCCTACACATGCTCCATGTCTACATCTCAGCAGACCCCCTGTGTGGTTCTAGACAGAGCTAAGTTACCTGAAAATACTTTGATCCCTTCCAGCCTCCTGACTATCTCAGGCTGGACAGAAGAGTCTGGTATACCATCCTCTGCTGGAAGCATGCTGGCTGCCCGTGGGCCATGAGGGTTTCCTGGGTCAGTGGGTACACAAGGACCCTCACTTTCACTCTCCCATATTGTGCATGCCCCCCATGTGGCTGTTCTTTCCCAGCCCGGGCAGTTTCCATGCATGTTCAGCCATGCTCTGCTGAGAGGTTTGGACCTTCTGTGGGTGTCTGGAGCCCTCATCTAAGGGGCCTATCCTCTCCAATTCCTTGCCCATGGCTCTAGTTATGTGTCCCTAGTGCCCTTCCTGGTTCCTCCCTCAAGAATCAAGGCCTTTATTGCCTGATGTCCAATCTGAAAATCAAGGTTTGTTTGTTGTAGACAAGGTCCTGCTATGTAGCTCAGGCTGACCTTGAACTCACTGTGTAGCCCAGGCTGGCCTTGAACTTGAAAAAATCCTCCTGTCTCAGCCTCCAGAGTGCTGGGATTACAGGCATATGCCACCACACCTGGTAATTTGATCTGTTTTTTCCAGTGTCTCAGTTGCTTGAGAGAGTAATACTCAACTTTTTTGTCACAAGGACAAAATACCTGACATCCACAATTTATTTATTTATTTATTATTATTATTTTGTATTTTAGAGAAGTGTCTACAGAGTGTTCAGGGTCTCACTACTAGATTGGACTCTAGTGATCCGCCTGTTTACAGCCTCCCAAGAGCTGAGATTACAGGCCTCCACACCACGCCCAGTCTCAATTGCTGTCTCAGTGCACCCCGGGGATGGGGCCAGCACGGTAGGCCCCTGATCCTCTGAGCTATTTGGCTAACCTCTGACATCCACAATTTGAAGGGAAGGTTTCAGGGGCCCCAGTCCATGGTTTTTGATTCCAAGGCAGAAACTGCATGGGAAGGAGATGTTCAACCCTCACAGCCAGGAAGAAGGGAGGATCTAGGGACAAGGTCACAGCTCCCAAGGACCCAACTCCTCTGACCAGGCCCCACCTGCAGCAGCATCCTCAGTAGCACCTGACAAGGCAGTGTCCCCATGATCCAATCACCCTCCAAAAGCTCCACTTTTGAATACCTGAGACTTCTGGGGGACATTTCTTTTTTTATGGGGACAAATTCGCAAAGTTGAGGGACATTTTAGATGGAGGCTGTAACAGGATGAGGAGGACCTTGTATACCTGTGTGAACTGTGCAGAAAGGCTGGAGCTTGGCCTCCACCTGGCTCTATGGTGCTGTCATCTGAGTTTTGTTTTCCTGCTTGCCACTCTGGTTTACAAGAGGACTTGATATTTAAACGTCTTTCTTTGGCTACAGTCCTCCCCAAATCCACAGTCCTTCCAACAGACAAATGAAGGGCACATCTGATACTGCCCTTGGCAGACATGGTGCCTGCAATCCCCCACCCACCCCACTCCTGGACCGTGTCCTGTACCCCATGCTGAAGGTCACTCTGCAGAGTGTGGTATCTGTTCTCTTCCAAGTGTAGATGCCCAAGATGGGGGAGGGGGGTCATCACTTATCCAACTGATAACACCTACGGGTCATGTGGACCAGTTTCAGTTTTCTCTATTATAAATTATGCTGCAGTTAATGGTCTTGTGCCTGTGTCATTTTGTACTTTGGGATGCATCCTACTTGAGGACTGCTGCTGGGCCAAAGGCTCAATGCCCATGCCACTTGCTGGATACTACCTAGCTCCTTCCACTCTCAACAGCAACCAAGTCTTGTCTCCTGGCAGTCTCATCAGTGTGGAAAGGTCCAGAACTAGGTTTTTCCCAGCACATCAATAGAAGGGCCTGCAGGCCAGGAGAGGAATGAGGCACATTGTTGGGACAGGGAACAGCTGGGCCACTGCCTGGAGGTGCACACCCAGGAGAAGCCCTGTGGTCAGGAGTGAACTATATAGCCTGAGGGACAGGGTTAGGGCTGGGTTTTCTGGGAGTCCCTATTTTATTTTGAAAATGGCCTTAGGGGCCATGTGGCTGAGCTCTGATGCATCAGTTACTGGCCACTGTGGTTCAAGGGCAGAAGGGAAGGAGGAGCACCCCAGAGTCTCACTTTCAAGGCTCACAGGTGGGGCTCCTGGGCAGGTAACAGCCTCCGGGAAAAGCCAGGAGTTGCTCAGTGGAGTGGAATTCTCTGACCATATCCCAGCAAAAGTATGGCTAGACAAAGAAGTTGAGATCATGGTCAGGTTCTGAGATGATGCTGGCAAATAAGATTACAGGGAAGAGCAGCTGGCAGCCCTGATGCTGGTCTGAAGACTCCTCCTGGAGGGATCCCGGGCCTGCAGTGAGTTCTGGAAATGGTCTCACGTGCTGTCCATCAAGCCCATGAGCACACAAATGGCCAGGGATCTGTCTGTCTACCAAGCCAGATCACTTCATGAGGTCACTCTGCACTCTAGTCTGGGCTGGTCCATCTGTGCCTCTTGCTGTCCCAACATTAACACTTCACCTCCCTGGTTCCAGGCAAGCCTCCCTCCCAGAGACTGAAAGGGCTACTGGGCTCCTAAGAGGGCAGCTACTTCCTTGGCCCAGGGCCCTCTTGCCAAGCCACCTTCTTTCTGCCTCCACTGGGATCCCTGTCAGCATCACTGTCAGAGCTCCCAGGCCGAAAACCGCAGCCTTTTGGCCTCAGCTCCCTGCAGCAGAGCTCGGGCTTGTTTCCTCCATTGGCACTCTAATGCTTTCAAACCTCTCTTGCACCTTTGGAGTCACTCTGGTAACCATCATTTCCAGATTTTAAAAACTTAGGAGCTTCACTGAGCCACTTCAGCTCATGGGACCCAGGCTCCTGGGGCTCGTTTCTGTCCAGTGGCACTAGGGGTCCCGCCTTGGCCCCGCCTCCGTGGAGATCCAGTCTAGCTCACCAGTGTTTCCAAGGACAACACGCATTTTTCCCGGTTGGCCTTCACCCTGCGTGGACGTCTGGGTCCCGGCTCACAGCTCAAGGGTACACCTGCACCTGGCGCTCTGCACACCTGACTGGTTTCCGGGATGGAGAGATGACGGCTTCCATTGAGAAACCTCGCCCCAGGTCCAACCCTCAGTCCAAGTGAGGGCCCCCAAGTATGAAACCCGGCTTCAGCACGTTCGTGGGTGTACTGCCCGATCCCGGTGACCACGCCCCGCCCCGCCCTATCAGGCCCGCCTTCTTCCAGACCACGCCCCTCTCGCCCCGCCCACATCGGTGTGACCACGCCCCGAGTTCCGCCCCGCCCACCGCAGCCGGCCAACTCCGTCTTTTCCATGGAGCGCGGCCCCCACGCGCCTGCGCCCTCTGGCCCCACCCTCGTCCCGCCCCATCCAGGTCCCGCCCCCGCCGACCGCCGGGTGGGAGCTGAGCCGCACACTGCGCATGCTCCAACCGCGGCGCCCCCGACGCGGCGCTCGGCTCGGCTCGGGCATTTCCGCCTCTTTGTTTTAAACTCCGGACGGGTTTTTTCTCCTCCTCTTGGGGGGGACCCTGAGGGAGCGGCGCCCCCTCCCCCTCCCGGCGAGCCCCCTCGTGCGCCCGCTCGCCCGCCGCCTGAGACGCAGGTCAGTGAGCCCGCCCCGCCCGGCCTGGGCCCGCGCGCCCGCTCCTCGGGCCGCGGCCTCAGCCCGGGTCCGGCGGAAGGCTGCGAGCCCGGAGCCCCTCGGCGAGCAGGCAGGGAGGCGGGACCTAGGGAGGGCAGGACCCTGGACCGGGCCGGACCCGGACCGCGCTGGACCCCGAAATAGCCTGGACCCTGGAGGAGACAAGCCCCCAGCCTAGGCAGGACCCTGCCCAGGCATGAAGTGCGATTATGGAGTACTCCTAGGCTGGACCTCAGGAGGGCAGGGCTTTGGAAGGGCAAAAACCTCGGGCCAGGCAGCACCTAGGAAGGGCAGAGCCCAGGAACAGGCTGGACCCTGCCCAGGCAGGAGCTGTACAGGGCCACTCACCAAGGAAGGTCAGTCCCTGGGACTGGTCGCGGCCCACAACGTGCTGGGACCCTGATTAGGTCTCTGAGAAGGGCTGAGACCTCAGGTTAGGTCAGTGGGGAGGGTCAAGCCCTTGGGAAGTGTCATGGAGCAGGCTGGATCCCAGGACTGTTTAGGACCCAGAGAATGAATGTCAGGACCACTGAGGTGGTCCAAGTCAAGATAGGCCACAGAAGGAGGGACAGGATCCCGGGATCGTTCCCAAGGAGAGCTGGGATCCTGGGACAAGACGGTGGAAAGGTTAAGACTTGGGGACAAGCCCATTGAGAGAACTAGGACACCAGAGCTGACCTCAAACAGGTCAGTAGCCCTGGCACAGTCCTTTGAGCACTTTTGGGACCCCGAAACAGCCTCTTTGTCCCTGAGAGGCTGAGACTCTGAGGTTATACTATGACTAGTTATACTAGTCAGAATCCCAGTGACCAGGATATCAGAGCGTGGGGTTAGGGTCCTGTCAAGGAGAATCTTGATTAGAGAACTCTGAGGCAGGCCCTGGGCATGGAGGCCTAGATCTGAACAGCTAGGCCCCACAAAGGAACTGAAGATGCTCTGAGTTTGCACAGATAGTCACCTGGACCCTCCTGCTGTGCAAACTCAGGCATGTGGGGTCCTGGTGACCTGAGCTGTGTAGGTACAAAACCTCTTTTCCTGAAACCCTTAAGTACCCTGACATCGTGAACTTCTGGGTTGACTCACACAGACCTTCAGTAGGTACCTGGGGTGGGATCTGGGTCCAGCTGCAAGGCAAAGTCGGATTGGTCCTAACAGCAAGGACTCAAGGGCCCCAGGTGTGCTTGTTTAGGGCTGTGTGGTACCCAAGCCCAAGAAGCTGCCTCCTACCTGCTCTGTGCCCCTTCTGGACTGTGGGCTTCACCTGCCTCTGCCTCTGCTTTGTGCAGCATTCGTGCAGTGTTTGGCACCTTCACCTTCCTGCCTCCCCTCTTCCCCACAAGGTTTTAGGGAGCACCCAGTGTCGAGGGAACCCCCACAGTAGGTAGGAAGATGGGTCCAAACTTCAAGCAAATAGCCCAGGGCCTGAAGAGTGGAGGACTGGACTGCAGGGTGGCAAGTTGGCACTTTAACTCCCAATCTGCCCCAGAGAGGAAAAGAATGCATTAGTGGATCTTAGGGAGCAGTTTTTGTTTCTCTGAAAACTTCAGAGTGGGCTTTTATGTAGAGTATGTCGTGTTTTCCTTTGCTTTGCAAACGGTCACAGAAAGAAAAGTAGGTGGAGATTTCATGCTGCGTCAAGTATTAAGAGATCACAGAGTACTGCTCTTGATGGGGATGGGCAGACCTCGTGGGATGTGTTTCCAGAAAGCAGAACCCACAGGACAGGGTCTTGCCCAGCCCAGCACCCAGAGTGACCTGCCATGGTCATCAAGAGGTTCTGCTGATGGGCTAGTGGACACAGAAAGTGAAGGTCAGCCACTGGGCTCATGCAGGACTCACCAGGAGTTGGCAATAGGGTGAGGCCTAAGTCTGAAGCTCTGGGCTTTTGACTCCTGAGGGACCCTTGAACTGGCCAGTTCTGGATTTCACTTCTTAGTTCCTCAAGAGAAACAGCTTTATTTATTTTTGTTTGTTGAGACAGTATCTCACTGTGTAGCTCACACAGGCCTCAATCTTGTGGCAGTCTTACTGCCTCTGGAGTGATGGGATTATAGGTTTGTACCCAGCGAGAAACTACTTTAGAATCCATAGCACTTTCAACTGAATGGTGCCTCAGAACAAGCCAGACTAGGAACTTATGTTTCCAGATAAGCTACACTTGGGAAATTTTGTGCCATTGCTGACTTCTGATTTTGTCTTTCTTTCATTCTTTCTTTTTTTTGTTTTTTACATCCTTTATTGTTTGTATAACTGAATTTGCTCTGTGAAATTTTGAGAGACTAGAAATACTATGTTCAGGTTTAATTAGGCTCTTCATTTTTCTCTTAGTGGATTTTAAAGGTGTAAATAGTGTGGAAGGAGTAATTGTATACATGTTGCAGTGGAATAAATCACCCCCAGATTTGGTGCCCTGAGCCAGCACCAACTGTCATCCTATGTGCTCTATGGGTCAGGGACCCAGGTCTGGTCTGGCAGGTCACCCTGCAGTCTCTGTAGGTCAAGGACCCAGGCCCACCAAGCAGATTATCCTGCAGTCTGAGACAGGGACCCAGGCCTGACTAGCTACGCAGGTCATCTTGTATTCTCTGCAGATCAGGGTCCTGGGTGTGACTTGGTGGGTAACCTACAGCCGCCCCTCTGGGTAGGGCCTTAGGATAGTGGCTGGGTGCTTCATCTGAGGTCTCCATGGCGGCATGCCCATCCAGGCTCCTTTCCACAGCTGTCCATTAAAGACCACAGTTTCTCTTCCTTGAGCCTCTCAGATACAGTCAAGAAGAGCAAGTAACAGAGCAAGACAGTGACAGGAAGTCAGGCTTCACAACCTAACCTAGGAATGGCCCCATCACTTTACTGAATTGTCTTTATTGGAAGTGGTACCTATGGCCCCTTTGAGGAGGGGTGGAGACTCCATGGGGTGAACACACTGGAAGAAAGGTGGAGCTTGCAGTAGTATTGTTATCCTGACTTTCGTCAGGTTAGAGATGCTATGTGGCCTGCACCCATGCTGTGAGCAAGTCAAGAGTACATACAGAGCGGTGTGTTTCAGTTGTCCTACTAGTTGAGGCCTGTGTTCCTGAGATTGCTGTTCAGTTTTTATTTTGAATGGGGTCTTACTAAGTTGACTGGGCTGGGCTTAAACTTGGCAGTGCTTCTGCTTCAGCACTCTTGGATTCTGGGATAATAAGTGTGCACCACCATGCCTAGCTCTGTGTGTATGTTTTTCTTTTCTTTTTTCTTTTTTCTTTTTCTAGTTCTTATAATGTATTATTCTTTTTGGGAAAGTCAACATTGTAGTAATTCTTTCTCCATAGCACATACATCCTAGCACTATGTTTTTCTTATAAACTCTAGGGCTGCGATAGTGCTGACCTGAGCTCTGGGGACCAGCTTGAGATATGGTAGGTGGTACTCCAGGTACTCACTCGGATGGGTAGCATTTGCTCAGGCTTGGCCTCAGGCCTGGCACCCACTTTAATGACAGTAGCTTACCAAATTGAGTTGTCCCCCAAGGCTTTGTAAGGTACAAATGTGAAGCACAACTTGTGGTTTCTGATGTGTGAGCAGAACCAGGATGGTTAGTAAAGTTTAATTTTTCAGTTTTTAATTTTCATGTAACTTTCTGTGGTGAATTAGGGCCCTGTGACCAGTTACTGATCAGACTTGAGGCCTGCAGACCCAGTGCAGTGCAGATTGCTAGGAGGAGCCCTTGAACACTTCTGCCTGTCAAGGGAGCAGGATGGAAGTCTGAGGCCCAGCGCCATAGTAGGATTTTGCTCTTATTTACCTACAAGAATCAAGAAGTGAGCCAGACAAGGTGACACACACCTTCAATCCCAGCACCCTAGGAGGCTGAGACAAGAAGATTGCAAGTGAGAACCCATCCTGGCAACTCAATGACTTAGTGACTTAGTGTGACTCGATCTCAAAATAAATGCCCAGTGCTGCAATTAAAAAAACAAGCTATGAACATCCCCCCTCCCCCCGCATTCCTGTACCTTCAGTCAAGAAACAAACATGGACACAGTGTGTGTTCATCCGGGGGACATATCTTGCAGCATCTTTCCACAGTACATAAGGACAGTGGGTCCACTGAGGATCATCTGCATTTTCTTCCAGTCTGTAGGATTTTTTTTAAGTTTCTGGTATTTTTCAGTAATCCAGTGAACTTGTTTTTAATGAAGCTGATTGCTGTTCATTTTCTGTTGCACAAGTCTCCTTGCCTGAGGTCAGATCATTTTCCTTAGTATCTTCCCTTTCTTCATCCACATGAAGACAGGAGATGCTGGCTACCAAGCAGGGGCTCAGTGGTCTTTCTAGTTTGGCCACTAAGGATGCTATTTCTGTCCTGTTTAAATTATTAAGTATTCTTTTCCTGGAAGTATATCCATACATGCTGTGGTCCACCAGCCTAGCGCTGCCTTGAGGGTCCTCCAGACCTAGCCAAAAGCCCTATGTCCTGGGGACAGATAGCCACATGTGGTCTTCTGTGTGCAGGCTTACTTGTAGTTGTCCTCCCCTCCACTCTACCCGCCCAGGCTGGGGTGGCATGGAACAACACCATCTTCACCTGCTTTCTGCTGGTGGCTCCTGTGCTTATTTATTTATTGGTTCAGGGTCTTACTATGCACCTCGGACTCATAGTGATCCTCTTGTTTTCAGCCTCCCTAATGCTGGGAATATAGGCATATGCCACCACACCCGGATTTACTGTGCTTATTCTTGGGCTAGCCAAATAGCTCAGCAGATTAAAGCACCTGCAAGCAGGGGCCAGGGGTTCAGTCCCTGGGCCTGCTATGCTGGCCCCACCCCTGGGGCGCACTGGGCAATTGAGACTGAGCGTGGTGGCGCACCCCTGTAATCCCAGCTCTTGGGAGGCTGTAAACAGACAGGTCACTATGAGTTCTATCTAGTAGTGAGACCCTGAACATACTGTAGACCCTACCCTAAAATAGAGGGAAAAGGGCCAGGTGATAACTCAGTAGAATAAGCACTTGCCTGGCAAGTGCAAGGTCCTGAGTTCAATCCCTGGTACTGCAAAATAAATAAATAAAATAAAATAAAATAAAAAAAAAAGAACTGTGCTTATTCTTGCCAGGGAGTTGTGTGCTAAGGCTTCTTGGAAGTCCTGTACCGAGGTCTACCAGCAGTTGTGTGTAATAGTGAGGGCCTCCTCACAGAACTTTTGTTTGGTTAAAGATAATTCCTTCTAGTCTTAGTTTAAGAATTTTTAAGCCAGGCGTGGTGCCTGTAATCCGAGTATTTTGGGATGGTGAGACAGAAGGATTGATCTTGAGGTAATCCTAAACTATACAGCAAAATCCTGTCTCAAAAAAGAAGAAAGAAATTTAAAAAATTATAAACGTCACTGGATTTTATCAAATGATTTTTGTGTGTCAGTTGAGAAGAGTATGTTTTTCTCCTTAAATCTTTAGTTTTAGGTGACTTTTTCCTCATATGGCTCCTACCTGTGTTGTAGGGCTGAACCTTACTGAGTGAGATGGCCTTGCCTCTTGTGTGTTACTAGATGAGGGTGGCTGATATTCGACTCAGGTTTGGGTTGGTTTGTAATCTTCCTCCCAGCTTCAACCTGTCAATGTCTTGTGTATATGGAATTGGTTTTCCAAAGTTGGAAATCTTGGCTTTGAGTTTTTGTTGTTTTTTATCCCAGTGCTAGGAAATAAACCTAGGGCCTCAAACATGCTAGGTAAGTGCCACAGACCACAAAGTGAGCTACACTGCAGCCCAAAATACTTGTGTTGTTGAGAGAGTGGTTTGTTCTCAGGTTGGGAGGACCCACCTTGGAAATCCTAGGCCTGGAATGTTCTTGGAGAGACAATCTATAATTACCTCCTAAGCCTCTATATTAGGTACACATTGGGTTTTCTCTATTTTGTCCCAATTCATATGGATTATCTTTTTAAGCAGTTTATCAATTTTATATATGTTTCTGTTTGTTTTTTTTTTCTTAGCATAAAATTGTCAGTACTACTTTTTTAAAAATTAATTTTATTGAGAAAATAATAGCAATGAGACAGTTTCAAAATAGGTTAGTAGGGGGCCCAGGGAGATAGTTCAGTAGAATAAGCACTTGCCTGGCAAACACAGGGTCCTGAGTTCATTCCCCGGTACCGCAAAACAAACAAAAAAAACAGGTTGGTAGGACAGTGACAATAATTAATACATTGCATATTGTTGTCTTCATAGTAATTATTCATAGTACAAGATGCAGACATGATCTCTTGTCTAAACAATATTTTTTAATTGAACTAAGAGAAAGTAGCTGTGTATCTAACCTAACTAATTTGTATATACAGATACATATATATATTTTTCACTACAGTCGGTAGTATTTATGCTCCATGTCCTGGTCGTGTCTGGGTACTGCAACCCAGTTGTGCTCCTCCTCCCTGTCTGATTGGCAGTTGTCACCTCTAATATATCAGATGATTTACCTGTGTGAGGTGCTGTCTCCATGGGGTGTGTGGTGCTCAGTTGAGGAGCCCATACCTGGACTGCTTCACATAGAACCACAGGCCACACTGAACAAAAATTAAATACAATTAAAACATTGGTTGCTCAGTTTCACAAATCACCTTTTGAGCACTAGCATTTTCCTGTGCTTAGCGGCTGCTGGCCTGGGGAGGGGACAGTTCAGGACAGGCCTTGCCTTAAGCAGCTCATCTGCTCTTCTTCTGAACCCATCATATGATACTCATGTTGGTCCTGGGAAGACTGGCTTTTCTTACTCACTTTTTTGGTGCAAGTTACCTGAGCTTCAAAATTGGTTGCTAAAAATATGCAGCTGTGGAAGAACCTAAAGGGTGGGAATGTCCATGAGGGCACAGGAGGACAGTCCTGGATATGTACTTTAGGGCTGCTTGTTTCTGAACTCCCCACATCCCTTTGTCATCCTAGAGCCCTGGGCCTCTCCCAGGCAGAGTACTGGAGAATGGTGTGGGGAATGACACCTGGGGAGCCCAGTGAGGCTTCAGGTCTCACTCACAGTGTAGCAGCCCCCACATGCCTGGTTCAGAGGTCCTTGCATGGTTATTCAGGTCCAGACCCTGTGTCACACTGCCAGGGGTGCTCCAGCCATTCCCCTGACTTGTTATTGCCCTCAGCCATTGGTGCTATGAATGCCACATTCACTGTCCTTGTTTTCATCCCTGGACCCCAGTGCTAGGCCAGTGCCCACAGAGTCTTCAGCACATATTTGTTGAGTGGATGGGATATCTGTGACCTAGAGAGAAGAAGGCTCAGTCTGGATGTGCGGATGCAGAAATCACTGGCTTCACATGAATCCAGTAATGAAGTTTGCCACTTGCTGCCTCTCCCCAGGCCCTGCACCCTGGTCTCCTCTAAGGGCCTCATCCCACCTCAAGGGCACCAAAGCCGTATGTGTGTTAGAGCCCCTCTTCACCCTCAGGCCTGCATCTGTGCTTGTCAATTCTCATAGTTTCTGGGCTGGCCAAGGTTGGGGACACCAGGCTGTATCTCTGTGATAGAGTCTCTTTTTCACTGTGACTAATTCTCCTTTCCCCTCACCTGTTAAGTAAGCAAACAGGCGTGCTTCACCAGGCAAGGTACCCAACTTTGGGTATCCTGTGTCTTCTTGCAGTGACACCTGCTCTGTTTCCCAACAGGCTTCACCATGTAGCAGGGAATCCAGCTCTCCCTTGCAGGTGAGTGCAAGGCAGCGCCCTCCTTCCTCATGGCTAGTCATTGATGCACTGTGCCAAGCATGGTGCTTGGTACAAGTGTCAGGGCTATGAAGAAAGTCCTGAAAATATCATCTCCAAGCACTGGCTGGAGTTCTTTGTATGCAGTTTTCCTCTCCATGTTTCAGATAGGGCTGTGGAATCATGTCAGCACCCCAGAGGGAGGGGCCAGGTGGCAGGTTTGTCTGGGGACATATCAGTGTTGTCACCAGAGGTAACAGTGTTATTTTTGTGCTAGAAAATGGAAAGAGAGCAAGGGCCAGAAGGAAGGTATAGAAGTGAACCAGAGAGCAGCATAAGGAGGGATCGTCACATCCGCATGGTGGCCTGAAGCCTCCATGCCACGGCAGGAGGAGAAACACGCAGACATCCAGAGGAGGTGAGACCTGATTTGAGTCTCTGTGCACAGGGCCTGCTGTTCAGGAGAGGCAGTGGGGCTTTATCCATCCAACCTACCACCCAGGGGAGGCAAGGTGGTTCTATTTGCAGGATCTCCTGTGTGCAGGATCTCTTGTGTTGCTTCTGAGTGCTCACTATGTCCCTGAAATGCCTTTCTGTGCTCTTGACCAAGTAGCTCTGCCCCAGCCCCTTCACCCTAGATGCTCAAGTGGGCTTTACCCTCTCCTGGGCGTCCTAGCAGTGCAGTCCTGTATCCCCAGCGCCAGTCCCTTCTCTGCCTGCCTGCCTCTACTCCATAAAGTTCCCTGCCACTGAGCCTGCCTAGCCCTTCCTCAGTGGGACAGGAGGAGGGTATGGGAACAGAGAGGCCAGGGAGGGCACATCCCCCATGGTTGCAGTGTGCCAAGGGAAATGTCATGCCAGTCCTACATGATAGTCACTGAGAGCTATGTCCTCCAGCTGCAGCCGAAGTCCTGGAGACAGTGCCATGCCTGACCCTTGAGTAGCACACTTAGCAGCAATTGAATGTTGCTAGTTAGTGAATATACTTCTCCTACAGAAGCCAAAGATGTTGACCAGAAAGATCAAGCTCTGGGACATAAATGCCCATATCACCTGCCGCCTATGCAGTGGGTATCTCATCGACGCCACGACGGTGACCGAGTGCCTGCACACATGTAAGTACAGTTGATACTTGAACCAGTCCCGTGGTTGTAGGGGCAGCTTGTTCTGTTTCCCAGCAGTTTCAGCCCAAGCATAAGAGCAGTAGGGCTGGGAAAATTACTTCAAACTAAAAATGCCATGATAATTCCCTAGAGTAAGACTTCCTTAGGATCCAGCCTATTGTGATCAGCACATCAGTCCCTGATAAAAACGGTGTCCATGCCTGGCAGGGAGACACAGCTATATCTTTTTTTTTTTTTTTTTTTTTTTTTTGGAACCGGGGATTGAACTCATACCCTTGTGCTTGCCAGGCAAGCGCTTATTCTACTGAGCCATCTCCCCAGCCCCAACATGGCTATTTCTTAAGTTAGAGGAAAGTCTTCACATCTGTCAGACAGGGATCTGCTAATGCTTCTCCCGTCTGATCTTCTTTTCTGACCATCTGAGCTCTCAGCTTATGTAGAAAACAACAAATGGATGCTGATGACAACAGTTATGCACCGGGTGACCTCCTGGAGCACCTTGTCAAAGTGAATTCGAAGTGCAGATGATTTCTAATTTTGTATTTTCTCCTTAGGAGATACTTGCGAATTTTGACCTTACTTTATTTTTTAAATTTTGACTTTAAAGTTAGTTGTATTGGTAGAAACTGGCATGTGTCCTTTTTTTGAGGATGATTTTGATATTTGCCTAGTTTTGCTACACAAAGAAAATACAATCTTTTAAGTCAACATAATGGAAAATTTAAGTGTAACTGTATCCTGGTGGTCTCAGCCCATTATGCTCTGTCTGTTGCCTCCTCACTGTCCTCTTATGCAGTCTCCAAGCCTGGGTCTGGTTGGGTGGGGTTCTGGCACCTAGGCACACTCAGATGCATGGGGAGCTGGGGCCTTCTGCGGGGTGGCTGCATGCTTTGGATGAGGTCGAACGTGCTCCCAGCTCCTGGGAGGCTCACTGGGTGCCGAGTGCCAACCCCATCTCCATGTGACCTCTCACCTGGGTGCACTGACAGTTTGCAGGAGCTGTCTGGTGAAGTACCTGGAGGAGAACAACACCTGCCCCACCTGCAGGATTGTGATCCACCAGAGCCACCCGCTACAGTACATTGGGTGAGTGCCTAGCCTCAAGGATATATAGCCACTGCACACTTTATGCCATCCAGATGGCAGCAGGTGAGAGCTGGGCCCTGGGGCATCTCAGGACTGCACTGAACTGGCTGCATTAGGTTAGAAACAGAAGGTGGCCCTGGACCCACCTTTGTGCAGATCAGCATGGCTTCAGGTGAGGGGCAGGACACAGAGCTGAAGGTTTGTCAGCAGAGTTTCAGGGTGGGGACCACTCTGAGGGAGTGAAATGACTCCATGCCACTCAAGGGAGAGGTTTGGAGACGTGCCTTGGAGGCTAGCTTCTTACTTGAGTTGCACAAGGCATCACACACTGCCTAGGGGCACATGGATAGTGCAGGATTGCCAGGGAGCAGGATCCTAGGTTACAAATGGGAGCAACCAGCTCTCAACAGCCCTCCTCCTTTCAGACAGCACTTATGGGTCCTGCTCCTCCAGCTTTCCTTGCTGTGGCCAGCATGCCTTTCCACATGCCTTCTGATTCCTCAGTGAATTTCCTACTCACATGGGCATCCTTGGGAGATGCTTCATGGCCAGTGTGCCCTGTGGGGTGGACATGGAGAAGTGTCCATTCGCTGCTAATTAGTGCCACCTACACCCAGGGTGAGACACCTTTAATCCCAGCATGACATCCTTAACCCCAGCAACACACACCCTAGATTCAGCTCCCTTTGAAACACCACACCTATGACCTCAGGAGGCTTTGTTGTTTTTTTTTTTTTTGTTTTGTTTTGTTTTGTTTTTTGGCTCGGAATGCCCTCAGGGGTGGTTTGGCTGGCTGGAGTGTTGTGGGGATGAACTACAGCTGCCTGAGGCTGACAGCTTTGTGGAAGCACCTCAGGAGGCTTTGGGGGGGGGACATCTAATTATAAGCCATAACCTGCAACATTATTTGAAATGTTTGTAAGCAGTAGAACCTAAATTAAATGATGTATTAGTTTAGATCATAGGTAAGTTGTAACATCAGACATTTTCATTTCCAAGAATAAAATTGCCACCAAAACTTGAAATTTGTGTTTCAGAAGTTTGAGTTAAATGAGAAATGTGTGAAAATTACAGAATGAACATCCTGGACTGACTCAACTTGTTTCTTTGCAGTCATGATAGGACCATGCAAGACATTGTTTACAAATTGGTGCCAGGCCTCCAGGAAGGTAAGTATCAGAATCTCCTCAGCCCAGGGTCACACCAGGGAACTTGGTGTCAGCACTGTCCCTGTCTTGTGTGCCTGTGCTCTTATTTTTTAATTTTTATTTATTTTTTCCAATTTTTTTTGCGAAACCAGGGATTGAACTCAGGCCCTTGTGCTTGCCAGGGAAGCACTTATTCCACTGAGCTCCTAACTAATACATCTCCTTGTCTGCATTCTCGAGTATCTTTTCAGGATATGTAGACCTCTTTGTAGACTGTTTAGATCTGGGGAAAGGCATAGGATACCTTGAAATAAAATGCAAGAACTAGCAAAATGCTTGCAATAGAAGTTTTAAATGTGGGTGCCAACATGTGCACCAGAGGAGCCTCTGTGCTGTGTCTTCCATTGGCAGTTCCCCTTGTGTTCCTCTCTGTCCCCTGCTCCGACCTCTTGGTTTCACCTGTAATGTTGCAGTTTGTGTCTCAACAATAATGATTCCATAAAACACATAACCATAATCCCCTATGGCGTAGGAAAGTTATGGTGCTTCCTTAATGGCAAGTGCTGTAGTAAGGGTTTGTCGGGGAACAGTTCAGGACACATAATTTATAGGATTATTTTATAATAGTCACCCAAAGAATCATATGAAAAGAGTGCAGAAAATCTGTCTAAACACTGAAGATCAAAGAATCCAGCTGAGGGCCAGGGTCTCATGGCAGTGTCTTGCATGAGCCCTCTAAAGACCTAGAGCCCATGACAATGCCTCATGCCAGTCTGTCTTATGGATTTGTGCTGGGAAGGCCGAAAGGTCAGTGGCAGAAGCTAGAAAGTTTGTGCCGGGGGGTGGAAGATCTGTGCTAGTAGGCTGAGGGATCTGCACTGAGCCACGAAGCAACAAAGAAGACCAGAGTTTCCCCTAAAAGTACCACCAGCCATCCTCAGTGACATTGGGGTCCTGAAATCCTCTGATGATGAGAACAGCTGAGTTCATATCAGGAAAACCAGCATGACAAGCTCCTCTAGGACAACCAACAGCCCCCAATAGAACCAACATCTACTAAACTTTTTCCTCTCCAGTTCAGCCTCTTATGTTAGCAGCAATAATTCTTAGGTGGGCCCACGATACCCAGCAGCACAGATTCAGTTCAGCTGGGTATTACAGTTTGACCCCCAGTTGTCAGTCCACCACAGCAAGTGTTCATCATGTTGACATTGCTGGCTGTCCATGAGTACTGTGTCTTTGATATTGGTTCTTTCAGGTTGTTTCCATCAGGATCTACATAAGACTTGTGCCCAGGATGGACCTCCAGGCCTCCTGGGCCCCTATTGGCTCTATGTACCTCATCTTGAGGTGCCTACATGTCCTGTGAGTTGGTAGATTTAGCTGTGAATCCAGATTAGCTGTGGCCTGTGCTTTCAGCAAGTCTACCTCTAGGCAGTTTTCCACCCTGAGTGTGTGGATACTACCTGCTACTGAGGTGACAGGTGTCACTGCATCATCCATCTATGCCAGGTGCAGCAGCGCTGTTTTGGTCCTGCTGTTCTTCCATTTCTTAGTTGGAATGCATCCATAAAAATTGTGTTCCTGCTTGGATTCCCTGAGGTTTCTATGGAAACAGATGGATGGCTTCCTAGCCTTTCCACCTACCAGGTCATATGTTCTCAGCTCATTGGTGTATCATCCTTTTGAGGCTGAATCCTCTTGTGTATGGCTGATGGGTATCGCAGGTTGGGCCAGGACCCTTATGGTGCCCATGCTGGTCTTGAGTGGCCACAGCTCTTGGCATAAGAGTAATCCTGTGGGTTTCCCCATGCCGTGGCCTCTCACTGCTGTGGGCAGTGCTCTCTAGAGGCTGCAGCCTGTTGTGCTCTGGACTCTGTTGAGCTATTTCTGTTGAGTGAGGTTGTGCAGACATAATGACTTGGACATCTTGTTGCTCCTGGATGCAAACCTTAACAATGTGACTGTTCTCTTAGAGAAGGCCATCTACGGTATGTTGGGGGCTTCTTTTCTACGCAGTCGTAAGCCTCATTTTTCATGTTACTGGCTTTTCCTGGCCTCCACCCCAGATAGCTAGGACACACTTCACTCTAATGATGTAGTGAGGCGCAGAGCTCAACCTTGAGTCCCACGGTCTCATCCTGCTGATGATAGTGGCTCCCTTGAGGTCTTACTTGGGGTCTTGCCGATGAAGGGTGGGAGATATGTTAACTTTTGTTTCTTCGTGCCGTTACAGTATTTTAAAACTTGACTCTCAAAGGCAGATGTATTTGGTCACCCACTCCTCAGCACCACAGCATTAACTCCCCTTTCCAACATGCTGCTCAGGGCCTGTTGCTTCCATATGTGCACCACAGGATTGTGGAGAACTCACTGGTCCTGCCGATGGCCATTTACCATATTTGTCATCTTTTGCTTTTGTTTATATATTCAGTACAGGATCTCACTACACAGATCAGACCAGTCTCAATTTGCTGTCTCAGCAGTGTTGGGGTCAGGGCCGGCACGGCACACCAGGAAGGTTTTGGGTTTTTTGTTTGTTTTATTTTGTTTTTCTTTATTTTAGGTAAGGGTCTACAAGGTGTTCAGGGTCTCACTACTAGATAGGACTCACAGGCGCATGCCACCATTCCCAGTCTCCATTGCCATCACAATGCGCCCTGGGGGCGGGGCTCAAACCCCTGGCCTCTACACCTGCTTGCAGGTACTTTAATCTGCTGAGCTATTTGGCGAGCCCTAGGTTTTGGTTTTTTGAAACAAGGTCACACTGTATAGCTCAGGCTGGCCTTGAACTCATTGTGTAGTACAGGCTGAACTTAAACTCTCAGCAGTCCTTCTGCCTCAGCCTCCTAAGCGCTAGGATTATAGGCCTACACCACCATGCCTCACATTTTCCACTTTTAAAGACAAAGCATTTTCTTATAGACACCAGTGCAAGTACTCTTTTTATTGTGAAGGTTTGCTAGGACAAAAATGTCTCCTTTTTTCTTTCTTTCTGGCCTTCATCTGGCAGCTGCCCATGGTATATATCTGATCTGCAGCCTGCAGTTACATAGCACGTGAGCACACAGTATTTTCTACGTGGTTGGGAAAAACCAAAGAATATTGTGTGATGTGTGAAAATTTTATAAAATGAAATTTTACGTTACATGAATACAGTAATACCTTGGTTCACAAATGCTTCTGTTTACAAACAGCTCAGTTCATGAACAGAAGCATTCAGCACAATTTTGCTTCTATTTGTGAACTTTGCATTGGATGGTGAACAGAACCTTGGCCATCTTCCTTGAGTGAATATGAGCATGGCCATCTTTCCTAGAACTGTAGAAAGAATGACGGTCATGAACTGAGACACCACTGTAACTTCATGGGAACACAGTCATACTCATTTGCCAATTTTCTGTCCACCCTCTGCCTTCTGTGGCAGCAGGCCTTGTCACAGACCACAGACTGCCCCCTTACCCTACTACAAACCTCAGCCTATTAAGCACCTTGGGTCCACACTCTGTCAAGACTTAGTGTTACCAGTCCATACCCACCATGTCCAAGCAGAAAGAGGAGAAAGTGGGACCCAGAATTCAGCCTTCTTCCTACTGTAGTTGCTGCCCAGAAATGGACACCACAACATTCTCAGCCCACAAGAAAATAGTATTGGGACAAAAGTAAAAGTTGAAAACAGAATAGTTCATCCTAGCAGAATTCATTACAAAATAAATGAAAATGAGGCTGCAAAGTAAGCTTCTGAGTGGCTCAATTAGCCAGACACAAAGTTTATTAATAATCAGTCTTTTTTGGTGGGGAGGGTGTTAAAACAGGTCTCATTATGTAGAGTGTAGTCTGGCCTTGAACTCACTTATGTATCCCAGGCCGGCCTCAAACTCATTTGGATTCTCCTACTTCAGATTCCCAAGTGCTAGGATTATAGGTGTGCACCACCACGCCCATCAGAGCCAATCTGTTAAAGCTTGCTGGACTAGAGCATTGGGAGAGACTTGTCCAGAGAAGGCAAAGTGTTTTAAGACCTTTAGTCTTAGGAAAGAACTACACAGGATGGAGGAGGATAGAAAAGTAGCATTGGCATGAGTGCAGAGCAAGGCTGTGACTTCTTCTCACTACCTGTGTCCCCAGGGCTTCGGCTCCAGGTTTGTGTAGATTCAGTGCTGGGTGGCATGCTAAGGAACAGCCTCTGGGTCCTGAGGGTCTTCCTGGACACCCTAGGGAGAGTGCACTAAAAACCTTCCCCAGAGGGTGTGGATAGAAGGAACAATGGACAAGTTAGTGAAGCTGGTAAAAACTTCAAGTGTTCAAGGCTTGTGACCCATTTATTAGTAGGTGTCTTATGAGAACACCTGAATCTTGTGTGCTGGTCGTGATGGATTTCATTGTTAGACTCTGCTGACCATTCTTCTTTTTGTGGCTATCTTTGGAGCTCTGAATTTCTGTCAGACAAACTGGATGTCCTAACTTTGTGACTTAACAGTGAGCAAGTATGTGTTTCTGTTTTTTTCTTGAGCTAAGAGTGGAGGTTTGCATTTCTTTAAATGGAAGCAGCACTTTAACCACTATTGTCAAATATGGAATGACTCTGAAAATTGGCTTTGCTGAAGACTTGATCATATTTCTGAGTGAAGTCAGTTTAATATTGTAAGGCAAAATAACCCTACAGAGTGTACAAAGTCACTTGAACAACTAAGGCTTCTTGACTCACAGAATGTCCAGCAGCTTGTTAGTCAGCTTTCTGTCACTCTGGCAGGGAACCTGAGTTAATCGATTATAATGAGAAACCATTTGGGGAGGTCACAGTTTTGGTGGTTTCAGTCCATGGCTGTTTAGTCACATGCCAAGGCAGTCACTATGGCAGCAGCACTTGGAGAGCAAAACTGCGTATCTCATGTCCAAGAAGCAAGAGAGAAAATGAGAATGGTCTGGGGTCCCACCATGCCCTGACACATGCTGCTGGGGCCCTGCTGAAAGGTTCCATCACCTTCCAACAGCACCATCTTGGGCACCAAGTCTTACAT